TGTTAGTTTGGTTTGTTTTACCCAACAGTGAGTAATTATATATTTTTCAGTTGGGTTTTTGGGCTGGGCTTTTGAATAGTTAATGGACCCCCCAACAGTCCACATCATTTTATGAAAAAGAGGGTGGGCTTTTTGACTCATTTACTTAGCCTTTAATAGGCCCTTTCATTTTTTTTTGGTAAATATAGGTCCACAATTAACAGTTTGCGTTTAAACTGTTACTGCATGTTTAAGCTAAGTTTCACATCCAAGTCTTAGGACAAATATGTATGGATGGAAGCTCTATCCTGTGATTCTTTAGGAAGGGTAACGAGAAGGTAAATTCATCATAAATTCCTTAGTGTTAATGTAGATGACCTATCTTTGATTGAATTAAGAAAGGATTAGTGATGAGCTAAATTTGTATAGATATTAATGTGAAATTTTTACCTTGATATATATTGATATTTAGATGAGTTTTATGAAATTTTATTTGATTTTACATAATTTTTATTTTTTGTATATGAAAGGACTTAATTGGAAGAACTCATAATTCTTAAGAGTAAATTGCAAGGATAAAAAAGCTTAAGATTAAGTTGTATAGAATTCAGAAGTTAGGGACCAAGACTGTTATTTTACCATTAATAGAAATTGCTTAGAAGGCCAAAAACCCGACACGGTGATTTCAATCCGCGCTTAATAGAAGGTGTCGGCACCTAGTCGAAGGTATTGACATCTTATGCGATTTTTAAAAAATCTGTGCCTAACTTATTATTTTGGCGTGGGTTATACTTTTATTTCAATTAAGTTATCTAAAATTTTATAAATATTCATCTAAGTTTAGAATTAAAGAAGGAGCTTTAGAGGCTAGTGACAACTCTCTTTCAGATACTTTTTGAGATACGATAAATGATTCATCAATAATAGAATATTAAAAATTTTAACTCCTTCAGATTAGGCTTTATTTTTCTTTAAATATTCTTATATTCATAATTATGATTTCAAGTTTTATTACTTTTATTATGAACTAATTTATTCTATAAGGGTTACGATATAGCTAATCAATTTAACATAAATTTTGTGATTTTTATACTTTTAATTAAAATTATTCGCATGATGATTTTATGTTATTGAATTTAATACATTAAAAACTTAGTCACATTCCAATTAATTTAGTAATTTATGCATGAATTTGAGAAAGAATTGCACAAATTAGATCGATAATAGTATAAATTATGTGTTAAATTATAAAACCAAGAGATAATTAGTATCACATGTGTGGTAGAGGAGGACGAGAAAAGAGAGTTAAGAACTCTCTCTTTTTAAGTTAAAAATTTTCATAGAATTTAATACTCATTAGTTTGTTTAAAATTAATATAACTAATTTAACAAATCAATAATAGATTAATTTGACTTGAAAAAATTAATTAATTTAGGAAAATATGCTATCACATACAATAAGACTCAATAAATTAGTTTTGGAAGCATATTAATTCAAAATTTGTATTGATTGATTATGGTGAAATAGATGCTTTAATATCTCATATTTTGATTAGTTTTATTTTAATTATTGTTTCCTTTTTATTATTTTTAATTAAAGTTTTTTTCTTTTTAATTGTTCAAATAAACTTAGATTAATTATTTTTTGTATTTAGTTAAATACAATTTTCGTGAGTTCAATATTTTTTTTATTATTATATTATTTAGACTTGGAGTGACTAATACACTTGGTAGAGTGCTTTTAGCACATCAATTAGTCTTAAGATATCAATAAACAAACCCAAAAATACATTGACTACTAAACAATTGAAAAAAAAAACAACATACTATATCGTGTGTTCTACGGCCTATATGTCGATACATATATAGTTAATGTAATGTGTTGATTAGAAACAACTATTTATATATAAAAGTACATGAAATCTAGATTGAGTAAAAACAAATTACCCCAAAAAGAAATCTCAAGAAAGACTCTATTGTAGAGGACTTTGATCATTTGTTATACCTCCACCAGTCAAAACTATAATACTTAGAAAGTTTTAATTTATATTTTGTTTTGAATTCAACCTGCATTATAACTAATTAATGATAAAGACATAGAAATTGACCAACAGTTTTTATTACTCAATGATTTTTTTTTTTTTAATTTCAAATTACATTACCCTTCTGCTTAAACCTTATATTGAAAAAACCCCAAAAGCTCTCTCATCTTTCCACTAGTAAGCAAGTTCATAAATTTGATCACAATGCTAAGACTTGTGCTCTCCCACTGCCTTTTATTCTCTGTTTTGCTGTGGTGACAGCTTCAACACAAGTAAACTACTGCTTCATTTGTAAGAGAATTTATAAAGAGAAATGATTTTGAGATAACCTTTTTGTACCACTTTTTAGTATAACTTGATGTGTCATTCAAATAATTGGTTCTTGTAATTCATATGAAATCCGTAATATTAAATGCATCCACTCATTTAATGACATGTGGAAGTTGTATAAAAAAGTAGTATAAAAATGTTATCCCTATAGCACCATCCATTTATAAACCTCTTTAATTTCTTTATTTCTTACAAAGTATTTCCTTCTTTTGATATATATAGTGTGTGTGTGCCGAGGACACTGGAATGGGAGCAAGTTCTGTCTTCACTGTAAGGTAGGTATATGTTTTCAGACATTTCTTTTTCGTATACACAACTTACAATTCATATCAAATTCCTGTGGCTGCACATACAATTCATCAAAGTGTAAATTTGATACTTAATAATCAATCAACAGATTAGATGAAATCACAAACTAAATAGAATCAATATGTGCAAAGTTGGACTAAACCAGCACATGCAGCAACACAATGGTGATTGTAGTTGAATCTTAGTTTTGGTTATTGCATGGATGCAGCACAGCTCTGGAGAATCAATCGTATATCCAAATGGATCCATTTTAATTAATTGTCATTATTATTTGCTTCATCCTTAGCTAATGCAGGTGTTTGGAAGTGTTGACCGGAAACTTATGGCTAATCAACAAGAAGGCATTGTTAGTTGGAGTGTTGAGTTTGATTTGAGACTTCTATCATGGAGGTTTTAAATTCGAATGTTGATGAATGTATATGCTTTTATACTATGTGTTTTAAAGTACTTGGACATTGTTTGTCAATCCCTCTATTGTTTGGTTTAAACTTTTTAAAGTTTGCAGTTGTTTGTCATGGATTGATCCAGCTTTTCTGTTGAGGAGCATCGTGTAGGCAAAAACCTAATTTTAGTCCCTTACCTTATCAAGTTTAAAGGTCTTAACTCCTCACCTCATATTATAACACTTTTAACCCCTTACCTTACTAGATTTGTTGGTTTTAATTCCTTATCTATTAAAATTGAAGAAAATAACGTTTACTTTATACTGACTATTACCTTTGTTAACTGAAAGTAAATTTTTATTAACTAATAGTCAACTAATAGTGGGTTAACAGAATTAACGAAATATTATAAAATTAATTCTGTTAACTTTATTAGTTAAAAAAAGGTTTTTGTCAATTAATAGTTAACTAACAATCAATTAATAAAATTAACAATCAATTAATAGAAATAACAGAATTAACAAAATGTTAGAAAGTGAAGATTATTTTATTCAATTTTAATAGGTAAAGGACTAAAAATATTATAATATAAGACGAGGGGTTAAAACATATAAATCTAGTAAGGTGAGGGGTTAAAAGTATGATCATATAAGATAAAAGCCTAAAATATTCAAACTTGACAAAGTGAGGGGCTAAAAGTAGGTTTTTACCCATTGTGTGTGTGTGTGTTTTTTTTTTTTCAAATCAACTAATAAAACTGTATTATTATATAAATATGCCTTCCCATATTGTATGTATGGGTTGGAGTACTACTCCCTCTAATCTATAAAAGCTCCTTTGATTGATAAAAAAGTAATCTCCATTTTCCCATAATTTGAAATTGAAGCAAAATTTGTAATATTATACTAACAATGGTGGAGGAAAATGAAAATTTGCTTTTAAATATCTGCCAAACAGCTTCACAGTCACATACTATTTCCTGTGATTGAAAGTCAAAAAGAGACTTAGAATAGCATCATACTGTGTTGTTTGAGAAAACTACATAATAAGCTGTTATACATTGCTTTCAAGTCATCTATGGCTGCTTAAATTATTGAACCCACCCTAAAGTCAAATATTCATGTGATTTATTTAGCATGCATATCTTCCTTCCCAGGATCCCAAGTTTCTACTTTACCTAATTTAAGGATTCAAAGAGAGGAAAGGGGACATCAAACAAATAAAAATATCAACCAAATTTTCATGAAATTTCTATATTAAAGATCTCGAGCTTAATTTTTCAAACAGAGTGAGAAAGATGTAAATGAAACAAGTATTATTGCAAAAGGAACACAACTTTCTCCATTTGAAAGAAAACTATTCCATTAAGAAACCTCCCTCTTCTCATGAGGGAAGCAACCCCACGTAACTTTTTTTATAATGGGAGGACTTTGATCATTATCCACTTATTCACTACTTTACTTTAAATTTATTTATTTCTTTATGGGTGGGGAGGGGGACCATGACATGATGAGTTCCAAAACATTGAACAAAGCCAAGACAACTGGTTTTGAAAGGTTTAAGAAATTGGGCATGGCCAACCTGAGCCAACCTTGAACTGTTAGAACACAGACCCCACCACCCACCACTTAGATGAAAAATGATTTAATGGAAGAGAGTGGGTTAGTCAACTAGGGCATCACCACCCACTAACTCTTGTGGGTCCAAACGACTTCAAACCCACATGGGACTGCATTACAGGACAAAACACTATGTACCCATTACAGGACAAAACACTCACAATCAAGATTCAAGAACTGGGATTCCTTCAACCCACACATGATAAATGATGGTAAAGAAGCTGAAACAAAAATTAGGAGGAAAAGGAAACATGAGATGATACACCTAACTTATTCATACGACAGTCATTATCTATAATTAGTAGAAGGATTATGGGACTTTCTCCAACTTCATGTGCTTTCTTATTCTAGTCCCAGTTGAGACCTGCTCAAGTTCTAAATTTTTACCAGCTACAAACACGAGACAAATACAATAAAAATTAATTATGTAGTTTGTGGATTGGATTCACCAGTTCATGGCTGAAACTAAGTAACTGAAGGAGTGAGTCCTTCCTCCCCAACTCTGTTACTGGAACCAGATTGACACATCCTGCTTTGGCAGAGTATCCATTCCTATTGCTTGAAGATCTTCCTTGAAATCAAATGATGCCAAATCAAAGGGAGAACCGAACATCAATTGGAAGCCATTGTTGTTGTTCGTGTTGCTGTTGTTGTTGGTATTGTTGGTCTCAAATGGAGAATTCAAGACCTTAAACCTGTCAAACTGACCTTCCCCTTGTGAGAACATGTGATGGTTATTCGGCATGCTGGATTCCTCAAAGAAGTTTCCTTCCATTACAGCTCCTTGACCACGGAAGAAGCCTTCCTGTTGTTGTTGCTGTTGTTGAATTTTTGATTGGAGAAGACTTTGGCATTCATTAACTGAGTTGTTACCAGGATTTAAATTCCTGTTGCCTTGAACATTACTGTCATAGATTGACATGAGATCACCAATCCTTTTCTGCCCATCTTCTGGAACTCCGAGTCCTGATAAGTCAAAGGAATGTGGGATTGAGTTAACTGATGGTGCAGCCACCGGGGCTGCTGGCTTGGGTTGCACGAAATGCTGAGGGAAGATGATCGGTTTCACTTCATTGACATTAAAATTCGACCCCCCAAACAGTGTAGAAGAGCCTCCATAGGGGCAAGTCAGTTGATGATTGTCCCTAGAGGTCCTGTCATGAAAACCCAACCGGAGTTCACTATATGGGCACTGAAGGAACTCACATGTGTAAATCTTATGCTCCATCAAGTTTGGATCACTGGATGGCTTCCTCTTTCGAATGAAATCCATATTAACCACTTCTCCCTTAATAGCATAAGGAGGTTGTTGAACTGCCCTCATTCTTTCCAGCCCAAAGTTGGATGAATTGGGATTCAAAGGTTTGCACTCTTGCACATCAAAGTTCGGTTCATCTTCAGCCCGTTCAACATCATACTCACTGCAATCATTAATGACCAAGGATCCACTTCCTCCAGCCGAGGACAAAGGTGGGCAGGAATCAGGATAAAGCTCCCTGGCCAGGGCCTCCTCCTGATTAATTATGGCAAGCCAGGTTGCACTTTCCTTTGCAGTCATCTTGTCCTGCAAGCACTTGGACTGCCTTACAAGCTTGCGAATCTTGGCAATATCAGGAGACATGTGCTTGATCACAGCTGTTAGAACACCCACTTTCCAGGCCTTCTTCAAGTCATGAGGTTTCTTATATGGTGGAGGGCCTTGATCCTTGGGCAAGCCCAGCTGAGGCCACCATTCCTCATTTCCAGTTGGCCACCATGGTGGTGCAACACCCTTCTCCAGGGGAAACCTCCTCTGGGGAGGATCACAATGCTGCATGAGAGCAGACAAGAGAGAACCAAGAGTTGTATCTTGAAGTTCTTGCAAGGTGTGAGGGGTTGGGCCAATAGAATTAGCGCCATCATTCTTGCCCGGGATTGAATTATCTGCCTGATACTTGGCTATGGCAGCAGGGCCATTTCGATCAAACCTGACTTTGTCTTTCCACCATTCTCGCAGATTGTCAGATGCACCGGTTACTGGCTTTCCTTTCTCTGGAATTATCCCATAAACGAAACCTTGAGCTTTGCAAACTTCCATCATCTTCAGCATGTACTTCAATATCCCGTCCTGTGCCCTTGACATCTTTTTCCTCCTAGCCTGTTCTTGTGATTGACGCTGTTTGGCATTGTCGATCCCCTCCTTACCCTTACTCTGTTCTTTAAGCTTCTTCAGACGCATCTTGTCTCTCCACACCCTCCTTTCAAGTTCATCCACATCAATCTCTTCATCAGTATAATCATCCTCCACAGTAGCCTCTGGTTCATTCTGCGAGGCCGGACCATCTTTCTCGCCAAGAGGAGCAGGGAAGAAATCCACATCACTACAAAGCCCCATCTCATCAAACATCATCATTCCCAGAAAAATACCCCCAAATTTAGCCTTAAATTTAGAGAGGATCTAAAGACAATTCAGCAAACACAAACTCCAAGTTCCTACCCTATCTCTGAGTGCTGGCCTTCTATACCTGTAATTGTAAAAGCCATCATGATTGTTAATAAGGGCAGCCTATTAATTGCCATAAATTTTCCTGGTCAATAATCAGCAGTGTCTTATTCACAGAACTGGAAACGAAACCAACAAATCTCAATTCATAATTAATTCCAATACCAAACAACTAAAGGTGCCAAAAACTTAGATTTCAATAATTTGGATTCGGATGCCAGCTAATTCAAGTACAGATATTTACTAACAAAAGCATAAATTAAATGCTGCAGAGGTTATTTTGACCACAAAAAACCTAGACAAATATGGTAAATTCCCCCAGCCCTCAATAACTCTTTCTTGCAAAATTGAACCCAATGTAAAAAAATAAATAAATCAATCAACTGCACAAGCAATATCAGAATTTAGCCATAAAATGTGCACTTCACCTATCAACAAAATGAAAGAGATGAACCATAAAGAAAATCAAAGCATTTGTAGAGACTCCTAACTGAAACAACAATCAAGTTTCCTTGTGAAAAATGAAGTATCTAACGTAATCCAATTTCCCAAAACAACATTCAATAAAAGTTCGGATCTCATGAAAACAAAAAAAAACTTTCCCAGAAAATTGAACTGGTCAATTTAGATTTTCCCGGGAAAATGAATTTGTAAATGAAAACCCCAGCTCAAGCTTACTGGATCTGGCACAATCAAAAAAGCTCAACAATTTCCAATCAACGTGCAATACCCACATCCCAAAAGCAGCTCTGAACCCAAACAAA